TATATATATATATATATATATATATATATATATATATATATATATAGTTATCTTATTGTTTTACTGTTTTTTTTTTGTTTTGTTTATTTGTACAGCATTTAGATGGGCTGGTATGTTGTATTTTAAGTGCTTTAGAAATAAAATGGTATGGTATGTGCTGTTGTTACTGCTATATTCAAAGACGTGTCATGATTGTTCTTATTTATAGCATCTTCACACATTTGAACACCTGAGCTGAAGGGACTTTGAACCAGATTTATGGCATCAAAACAAGTTTAAGATCACCTTAGTGCAGTTTACAGCACAGTCAATCAAAAGACATATTATAGAATCTAAAGTGTTAAATAACAAAAGCAATTGTTACATATTATCAGTGGTGATGGGAAAAGGTTCTTGCGAGATACGACTGAGCCTTATACATAATTTATTTGCTTGTTTCATGTCCCTCAGTGGAGTCATTTAGGCTCATTGTCCAAAGCAAATACTTTTAAGACGCCTATTTTTCCTCATTTTAGCATTCTTCTTGGAAATCTGGGAACGAACAGCACACAGTCTGTGATAAAAAAACAAGTAAAGTTGAGATCTTATCAGCAACAAAAGATCATGTGGGTCTCACACAGATATGACCTGAGTGTTGACTAATGATTACCGTTGTAGGCAAACCTGAAAGTCCTTTCAAAACAGAGGAAACGAAAAAATATCCAACTTTAGTCTGTTCAAGTTCAGATGGACAGAGGTTCTCTGACAAGTTCTTTTGATGAGGCAGTGGTTCCATTTTGTGTCGAGAAGGCCACATCTGTACCAGAGACCGTAGGTACGTGGTCCCCTGAGGACTCCTCTCCGCCAGGTCGACCTTTCCTCCTCAAAGAGTTCCTGATCCCGTTAGACACTCGTCTCACAGCCTGGCTCAGCCCTCGATTCTTCTTCTTCATCAGGCCTACGTCGTCCTCCAGCTCCTCGGGCGGCACGTCGATGTTGCCTGAGTACCAGAACACCCACCAGATCAAACTGAGGAAAATGATTATGGCTCCGGCGTAGATGAACAGGTCGTGGATGACCAGCCCCCCGAACACCCCCACCATCATTATGAAGACGCCGAGGATGTCGTGGGCCACAGCGAACCAGAACGAGCACCGGCAGCGGCCCACTGTCCCATGGCTCCTCTCTGCGATCGCCTCTACCTGCACAGAGGTGGACATGATGGCAGGCAAGACTCTCAGAAGCAGCACCTCAAGAGAACTGCAGCGGAGAGACGACAAAGTGGAATCATCACAGAAAACAACCTGCTGTGACTCCAGTCAAAGTCCAAAGTTCACAGTTATCAGCAGGAGGCCACACCAGCTCGACTGTACTGGATCAGTTGCATCATCATCCACAAACACGGTTGTTGTTTTATTCAAGCCCCTGGCTGAGACGTTTCCGCCTGTGCTTCTCTTTCAGAATGGGGATCCACACCAGCCCCACCACGACAAACATCAACCCAATGGACAGACAGGCTGAGGCTACGGAGCGGGACGGGTCATTCCTCCCAGACGAATGGACCAGGAAGAGGAGGACGCCCGCAGCAAACATCAGAGATCCCATTATGATGGTGATAATGGCTTTATGGAGGAAGGCCCAGCTTGGTCCCGCTTTGTGATGCTCCGAACACAAGCACTGACTCCCATCATGATGAGACGTTTCACCAAATGCCTCCATGGTTCAAATGATGCAGTTTAACGAGTTGTAATAAATAAACAAAAAACTCTTTTCAAACTGAGTTTAGACTTGAGTTGTAGGCAGATCCGCGTGGAAATGAGTTGCGTCCCACTCGTGACCCGTAAAGTGAGTGTGTGCATGATGCATCCCTGTAATTCCAGATGACCCCCCCCCCCCCCCCATCCTCCCACACAGACCCTGCCCACCTGTTGACAGCAGCCTCAGCTCTGACTGGCTGCTTCTTTATTTGATGGTGTTACATTAAACCATGAGAACAGCCTCACCGTCAGCTCCTTCGAGTTTCAACGCCACAGCTGAGTTCCTGTGCAGAGCACGCTGCATGTTCGGGGTCATCAGTCATTAAGGTAACAATACAGAGACTGGTATACTGGACAGAACTGTGCCTGCTTAGCATTAATGCATGCAGGGAGCAGCTGCACAAGCAACAGTCTGATGACAAAAGGCCCGTCACCTGATCCAGCTGATACAGATCTGATGGCTGCATTCATCAAGAACAAACAGTTACCAAGGCCTGTGCAACATAAAGCGAACAAAAGTGCTTCAAATTGTATTTTTATTATATGGATGAGACCGTTTTGAAAGAAATGTGTGAAGATTCTGTGTTTTCCTGCCACTAACCACAGCACTTGTCGTGGTAGAGCTTACCTCTCACACCTGTTCCTGATCCAAACTGATGAGGTCTTTAAGGACCTGTGACCTTCCTGAACATCTTTCTCTTTGTAGATCTATACGACATACTTGCACTCATACTTACATGGCATACTTGATGGGGCAGAGGCAGGGCAGCTGACTCGGGACCAGGTTCGATCCCCAGTCATTGCACATCTCGTGGAGTCTCTGAGCAGGACACCCAGTCCCCAACTGCTCCCCAGGCGCCTTCAATAGCTGCCCATTGCTCCACCTGAGTGTATCCCAGATGTGGTGGGTCAAATACAGAGAGCCAAATTCACCATTATATGGGAACATACAATGATAATACATAATACATTATACTGTTCAGCAGCAAACATCATGTACAAGCAGTTTTTCAGCGCCTCCTTGAAAACCAATTTTCTGTCAACACAGAGAAAAAAGACTTTTATGCATCTTTTGTAATCTTTTTGGGTTTGATTTTTGAGAGTGGGCAGGTTTGGATGGACCCCAAGAAGGTAAAAGCCGTTGCTGAATGGTCATTCCCAGAGAACCCGAAAAAGCTGCAACGTTTCTTGGATTTTGCGAACTCCTATCGTCACTCCATAAAGGAGTATTGTTGTGTTACTGCCCCTCTCACCAGGCTCACCTCCAGCTTATTCACATTTGCATGGACCCCAGAAGCCAATTCAGCATTTGGTGAGTTGAAAAGATTATTCACAACGGCATCTATTCTTACACTTCCCGACAGGAAACTCCAATTTGTCCTGAAAATGGGTGCATGAGACTCTGGAGTCAGATCTGTACTCTCCCAAAGGTCCAAGAAGGACGAGAAGCTTCAACCCTGCACATTCATTCTATTCAATGCACTTCATTCTAAGGAAGTTTGGTATGAGCACCATCATCCTCACCAACTTTTATAGGTGCACCATTGAGAGCCTGCTGACAGGCTGCATCACAGGGTGGTTGAGGAACTGCACCAGTCAGAAAGCTCTACAGAGTGTGGTGCAAACAGCAGAGGACATCACTGGTAGCAGTCTCCACACCATCCAGGACATCTACCACATACAATGTCTGTGTAAAGCATGCAGCATCATGAAGGACCACACCCACCCAGCACAAGAATGACACGGATTGGTGTAGCCTCTGCAGTATTGCGGACTCTGTACCGGTCCGCTGTGGTGAAGATGGAGCTGAGCTGTAAGACAACGCTCTCTGTTTACCAGTCGATCTACATCCCTACTCTCACCTATGGTCATGAGCTCTGGGTAGTGACCAAAAGAATGACATTTCGGATACAGGCGATTGAAATGAGTTTCCTCTGCAGGGTAGCTGGACTCTCCCTTAGAGATAGGGTGAGAAGTTCAGTTATCAGGGAGAGACTCAGAGTAGAACCACTGCTCCTCAACATCGAGAGGTGCTTCAGGCATGTCCGACTGGGAGGAGAGCCCTGGAAGACCCAGGACATGCCGGAGAGACTACGTGTCTCGGTTGGCCTGAGAACGCCTTAGAGTCCTCCCAGAAGAGCTGGAAGAGGTGGCTGTGGAAAGACATGTCTGGACCTCCTAGCTCAAGATGCTGCCCCCACAACCCGACTTTGGAACAAGCAGAAGATAATAGATGCATGATGTTAACGTAGTGACGTACGTGATACAGCCACATCGTGCAACAACAATAAACATATTAGTTGTCACAGATGTGGTTTAGTGCAAAGTTATTGTCAAGAGTTCAGTGATCTGAAAGTTTGTGGATAATAACTGTCTGAGTCTTTTCGTGCACGATGGCAGACTCCTGTATCGTCTGCCTGAGGGTAGTAGATGAAAGATCCTTGTGCTGGGTGGGTGTGGTCCTTCATGATGCTGTGTGCTTTACGTGGACATCGGCTGTGGTAGATGTCCTGGATGGTGTGGAGACTGCTACCAGTGATGTCCTCTGCTGTTTGCACCACCCTCTGTAGCACTTTCCAGTTCTGACTGGTGCAGTTCCCATACCACCCTGTGATGCAGCCTGTCAGCAGGCTCTCACTGGTGCACCTATAAAAGTTAGTGAGGATGTTGGAGTTTGTACCAAACTTATTTAGTCTTCTTAGGAAGTAGAGTCTTTGTCGGGCTTTCTTGACCACAGTGTTTGTTTGTAAAGTCCAGGACAAATCATCAGTAATGTGAACACAAAGGAACGTGAAGCTGCTGACCTGCTCCACCTCAGCGTTGTTTATAGATGGTGCAGTGCTGGTCTCTTTGATCTTGTACTTTTACTTCTCTCCAGATCATACTTCCATCTTTCCAGGCTTTCTTCCACCTGCTCTCTACTCTCACTACAGATGATTCAGTCATGTATGAACATCATAGTGTCTGTGTCGTCTTTCAACATGTGCTGCACATGAGCAGGGGCTCAGAACTGGTCTGTGCTGTTATCGGTCCCCCATAAACCCATCTGTTACTGGTACTGTAAACTGGTGGTTGGTTTAAAAGAAAATGAGCGAGTTCAATGAGATTTTTGTACTTTAAGGATTGTGGGCCAATTTATATGTATTACCTGCCACATCATTAAAACCACCTGCCTCATTTCATGTAAGCCACTGAAGGACTTGACCTGTAAGGACTGCCATCACTAGTGACTACGTTTAGTCTGCAACACTGGGACGTTTAACATCCACATTCATGCTCACCTCTGATGCAGCTCCAAGTGTGAGCACATGACTCCAGTCTTTGTATCGCCTCATAGCTTCCTGACCAGCTCCATGTTGATTTTAGTTTGTATTTTCCTTCATGTTCTAGTCTGGTCTCATCCGATTTAATCAATGTTTTTCATTCAACCTTTATTTAGACAGGGGGGTGTCAGCAAAGTCCATCCACTTTAAAAAAAAAAAAAATTCTTGATTTTAAGAAATGTGTTAATTCTTACAAAGTTCATGCTCAATAATCCAGTTTAAAAAAATCCAACAGTCAAGTCAGGTCCTCTGGACGGGTTCTTTTTGTTGAAACATTTCGTCTTTCATCTCCATCAAACCGTTTATAAAACAGTTCGTTGTGGCTCCTCGGACAGATGAAGTCCTTTGGATGAAAGACGAAACGTCTCAACAAAAAGAAACCATCCAGAGGGCAACGAAGTCCATGCTCAATAATCCAGGTATTCAATCCAACATTTTTCAGTCAGGTCATCTGGACAGTTTCTTTTTTTATGCGAGGTCATCTTGGCACCAACATAACTGGGTTGTTCCACTTTGGAGGAAGCTGTTGGGGGAAGAATCAGTTTTGTGTTGTTTCCTTGACTGATGAAGCCTTCTGGATGGAAGGTGAAACGTTTCAGCACAAAAAAGAAACTGTTCAAATGACCCGATTTAACTTTATTGGGTGTTGCTTTTACATAGTTGGTCAGTAGGGGGCAGTGTTTGACTGGTTCATGTACATCTGCAGTATAACTTCTGCATGCACTATAAAAGCAGTTATCCACTGTATCGACCAGTATATATGAAAGGGTTCAAACAGAAACACCAGCTGCATTTATGTAATATGGTAAATGTTATTGAGAAATTGCTAGAGCTTAAAAAAGACAAACTATTTGGAGAATAGATTTTATAATAATGGTACTAGATTTCACTGAGCACAAATAGACAAATGCAAAGTCTGGTCCAGTGAACGGTGTCAAACGTCCACGATGAATCTGTGCAGAATCATTTCACTTTAGGAGCTTTTCTTTTCCCTGGCGTCGCCATCTTCACCGTCTTCTTGGCTGGTTTCTTTTGAGTTTTTACTCCGCTCTTCGCCACGACAGGTTTGGGTGTTTTCTGCCGCGTCTGCTTCTTGGAAGACTTCTGCAAGAAAATAAACAACAGTTTTATTTAATTACAAATCACAGCTCTCTCCAAGCTGTCAGCTGAAACAGTTCAAAGGTTACATTGACTTTTGGCAGTGAACAAAACTGACCTCGAGTTTAGTTTTTTTAGCTGGAGTTTCAATGGGAACCAGTTGTGGGATTTCCTCCTCCTCCTCGTCCATCTTCTTTTTCTTCAGCTTAATTTTTTCCTCTGACGGTTTATCATCCTTCTTCTTGTTCTTCTCCACCTTTTTCTCGTTTGCAGTTTCCTGAAACGTATCAAGTTCAGTTTGCCGACTCATCACACAGTTCTTTAAACGCACAAGACCTTCATTTGAGGGCTCACTGTGGTCGGAGGCACGCTGAGGTGGCTCAGGTCCGAGGTGTAGATGGGTAAAGCCACAGATGTTTCACTCTTTAAATGGATCACCTTGATCGCTGGTCTTTTCTGGAAACCATCAGACAAGACACGCAAAAACAAGCAATTAAAACGAGCAACTATTTTCATAAACTTGTTTAAGACCTTTATTATTGAGCCACAGCCAGCCAGGATCTGTTCTAATCATGTCAATGAAATCAATAAAAGGATGGTAGTTCTTGTGTATATTAGATGATAACTGGGACAAAAGGTGCTTTGGGACCACCTCCATATTTTCACGCTGACAGTATTATTGCATCCATAATCATCCTAACTACGCTCATCAGGTCTGTGCTTCAGAGATGTTGCTGTTGCTCATTAAGAACTCAAGTAGGCCTGTCACGATAAACAATAAATCAATTAATCGCACAATAAATGAAAATTATCTACCTCATTTTCATTTATCAGCTTTATCATTTCTTCGTGTCTCTCTTTCTACTGAAGACACTGGATGACAAAAGGCTCAACTCCGGTGCTCTTCACTGACTCCTCCCTTTCTCTTTAAAATCTGTTTTAATGATCCAAAATCATGGTTTTGGATCATTAAAAGCAGTTAAGCTATGAGCTAAGCTAACAGGCCGACCTCAAGTCTTGTCAAAGCTCCAAAATTCACAGTTGAAACCCATGCCTTCATCTAAAAAGTTGTTTTTCTCTGAAGAAAAAAAGCTGAGAAATTGTTTAATGATTTTTTTATTTTATTAAAAGCTTTGTGTGAAAAATGCTATGCTAAAGAGCTCAAACCACACCGAGCATCCGCCATTTTGAGAGCCAAAAAACAGGAGCAGCAGCCCATGTCACGTGAAGGGGCCTCCCTCCCATTTTTATTAGAGGCACGCTGCTCGCTCCCTCACTATCCATCCTTTGGTTCAAACAGTCATACTGCCATCAGGTGGTCAAAAAAGGCACTACACAAAAATTAATCAACATTTTTTTTCTTAAATTTGACAATTACTAATTATTGTCAAATTTAAAACAATATTATCGTTTGTCGCAATAATTTCTGAGACAATCATCCAGCAAAATATGTTATCGTGACAGGCCCACTCTCAAGCTTTATAAGGGCATGTGATTGTCCACACACAAACATACAGTTAAGGCAGAGCAAACTGAACGTTCAGCAGCACCTGTCTTATAAAACCTGCTTTAACGTTGCTCATCGTCGTCGTAGCTGCATCACATCCGCCCAGCAGAACAAAAACAAACATGTAGGTTCTTATAACCACCTATAGTGGAACTGAAACTAATAAAACAAGACAGAAGTGTTTTTCTTTCTACATCTGTTGAGGAATCACCTAGTTGCCCCTAAAAACAAACCTCTCGTTAATTTAATGTAAAATTACACTTTTTCTATGTCGACACCAGGAGTCTGAACCTTTACAACCAAAAGAGCCATTTTCCAAGTTCAAAGTCAATTTTTATTGTTTCCACCACATATGGTACAGGAGGTGGAATGAAATTATGTACACAGGGTCCAAGTTACACCCAACAACAGCAAAATTATAAAGTATAAAAAGAAACAGTAAATAAGGAACTAAGATATAAACTAAAGATATAAACTAAGATACAAACTAAGTAGGGTTGTACATCTCTGTGTGATAGACGATTCGATTCGCATCTAGATACAAAGGTTACGATTCGATTCAAAAACGATTTATTTTAAAAACAGAACGATTTGATTCGATTCGATACAGTGGAAGAGCGATTCGGTTCGATTCGATTCAACTTTATATAATTCTACAGTTTAACATTTGTTGAATGTAGACAAATATTAATTATGAACAAAAAGGGCCATTTCTATAAATGTGACATTCTTACATTATTTTTAAATTTGTAAAAGTTTACATATATCATATCTAAAAGCGTGCAGTAAGGCACTGGCAAAAATAAAGTAAAAAGCCTAACAACAGAATCACATGTCAAATGTGTTTATTTTTAGACATGGACCTAAAAAGACCAGCTAAAAGAATATTTCTTTGTTTGATGGGATCAGTATAAAATGAGAAAATAAAGAAAAATTATAAAATGCACAAATGATTACAGCAGCATGTAATAAATTTTTTTTTTTTTTTAAATAGGAATAAGCTACAGTAAGCACAAAGCACCTGTGCAATAACCTGTCACATACCCTGCGTAGTTTGGTAGTTATGTGCAATATATATCATGTGCATTTTAGCTTATATTACATTACTACCTTGAAATACTTATTCACACAAATTCATTCTGTTTCACTGTAAAAATTCTACAATGTTGTTTACCATTTTTCTCTTCAGAAACTTTGTAAATATTATAATTACTTTTTCACTTTTTGGTAGTTTATTTTGTACCCTTATTGCATGCTTTAGTATTTCTTGTTTGCTTGTTTTTTGTTTTTTAGCAAGTCAAATCGGTTCTTCTCATCCTGAGCATTTCATTGTGTTAACCTTGCATATGACAAATAAACACAACTTGAACTTGAACTTAATAATACAAAAACATAATGCAAGAACAGTACGCCTAACAACAGCAGCACGAACATGAGTTTGTGTGAGCAGGTGGGCACAGATTAATATAACATCATGTCATTTAAACAGCGGCATGAGATCAGATCAGCAGCATGGATAATCAGCAGCACATATCAACAGTCAAAGTGCCGATTACATGTATAAAAGAAATCAAAGTGCAGCTTTCTGACCTGGTGAGGTAGTCTGAACAAAAGTAATGTCCTGCATTTCTACATTCACGTCAGGTTCAATCTGAACTCAAACACAGTGAAGTAGTTCACTTCCTTATGTTTGTATGTTTACCTATATTTTTATTCGTCATAATCACTGTCCTCATCTTTTTTTTTGCGGCAGATTTTTCTTAAGGAAAATCAGCTGATCCACATGCTCATGTTTGAGTAGACTGCGTTTTGTGGAAACAATATCTCCTGCAGTGCTGAAAACTCTCTCAGATGCCACACTGGTGGCCGGTATGCACAGATACATTTTAGCCATAGATGACAGCAGTGGCAAGTCCTGTTGCTCTTTCCACCACTGTAGTGGGTTTTTTTTCAGGGGCAAAGGATCACGCTCTCTGTACCTCTTGACTTCTTCATTGGCCTGGTCCCTCACAGATCTAGATGCCGTCCTTACTTGAAAGTCTTCTCCCAACAGCTGGTCCAGGGCTGACATTCTCTTCTTTTTACAAGGAGGTTTATCATCTGAAATAGAAAACAAGTACCATATATTACTGGCTATGTTTGCCATGAAGTTTTTTAATTGACTACCATTTTATGTATAAATCTTCATTTGATGTTCAGAATTTATTTATGTAAGGACTCGTGTACATATGTAAAATATGTATCATTATCATCATCATTATTATTTAACTTTCTTTGCATGCAGATCCTCTTATTATAGTGAATGTGTTTTATACTGATACTATGACTGCAGCACAAGTTTAAGACAAAGTCTTCTCGTTCTTGATCACAAGTTATAAAACACACAAACCTTTATGCTCATCTTGGGTCTGGGGTACATCAATGCAGACGACCGGATCTCCATTTGCAGGTTCACTCTGACATGGATCAGTCTGCACTGGACCTCTCTGAACTGAACCCCCCGTTACCTAGAAATAAAACATGAAATAACATTTAGTGTACAGTATGGTTAAATGCAGTGTAAAGAATCAAATAAACAGTAGTCAGAATATATCTAATGACAGCAACAAAACACACCAGACTGTAACTGAATGTACTGTAATATGTATTTTGACAGTGTGTTGGGGGATTTACCTTGTGATGCAGGGATGCTGCTTCTGCTGATATGCTTGTGAATGTCCTCTCTGCATCATGGTTACTGAGGAAGGGCAGGGACTTAAAACGGGGGTCCAGAGCTGCTGCAGTGTGGAAGAGATGTTCAAGGCCTGTGTAGCGTTTCTCCAAGTCATTCTTGAACGCCTGCTTCATCTCTCTGATTAACACTGAGTCTTCATCTGATGGTTCAAAGTTCTTTTTAAGCTTTGCTTTTACAGGAAGAATCATTGAGAGTGTGGGTCGCTTGTCTTCAGACATGCTGGTAGTCACAAGTTTGACCGGCGCCATCAGTTTGACAATGTCTTCAATGTCGCAGAAGTCTTTGTCCTTGAGAGTATTCACCTCTTCTCCTTTTCTGAGGTCCCTGGACATGAGTGCTGCAGAAATCGCAGGATGTTGCTCAAAAAAGCGTTCAAGCATGTCATGGGAGCTATTCCACCGCGTGGATACATCTTGGATGAGTTTGTGGGAAGGCAAGGCTAGTTGTTTCTGTTTCTCTTGAAGGATTTCTGCTGCCCTCACACTACGATGAAAAAAGGCAACGGCTTTCCTCACTCTCCCCAGCAACCTTGCTACTGTGTCAACTTTAAAGGCTTTCTGTGTGGCGAGATTAATAGTGTGTGCAAAGCACATGAGGTGAGGGGTCATCTCTGCTTCCACTCCAGCTAATACCATGTTTGTGGCATTGTCTGTCACCAGGGCTGGATCTTTATCAAGAAGGTTCCAGTCAACACATGCCTGTTTTAGCAGAGCACCAATGTTTTTCCCAGTGTGGGATCCTTTGAATGCCCTGGTTTGCAACACATGCACATTTAACTTCCAGTCTGGAGAGATGTAGTGGACAGTGATGGTCACATAAGACTCAGTGGAGCATGACGTCCAGGCATCGGTTGTAATAGCAACTCGCTCTGCATGTGCCAATTCTTTTTCAACTTGGCTCTTCACTTGGGCATACAACGCTGGCATGCATGTGTTTGTGATATGCTGCCGGGACGGAATCTTATATCTGGGCTCTAACGTATGAATCAAATCCTGAAATCCTTCCCCCTCCACTATATTGTACGGCCATAAGCCCTTAGCTATGAAACGGGTTATTGATGCCGTTATATCCTTAGCTCGTGATGAACTGTCGCCGAGTTGCCCGTAAAATTTAGTGATAACGTTACCCGTCGCTCTCTGTGTGGCAGCTGCCTGCTCCTGCTCGTTGTTATGGGGCTTGAGAAGTTCGCCATACTCCTCTCTGTGTTTTCTCGTTGCATGTTGATCAAGGTTTGTTGTGCTACCAGTGTACTTCAGAGGTGCTCTGCATAGCTTACAAATAGCGTGGTTTTTGTAGAGTTTTCCGTCCTTCTTGTAAAACCCGAAAACGTTCCACACTTTAGACTTTTGTCTGGCTGCTGTATTGAAAATCTTTCTCGGTGACCCGCTAACGCTGCTACTATTTACATCCATTCTCGTTGTCTTGGTGAGCTACGGAGCATGCGTGAGAATAGCTTCGCGGGCATTTCCGACTCTCGCGTTGTTTTATAAACGCACTGTCAACCGAGCTAGTCTCGCGATACCCGGTTCATGTCTCTTCAACCGGTTCATCTCAGCATTTGTGGCTGGTTGCTGTCGATTTATACGGCTGCAACCGACACAACCACATCGCTAGCTTGTCAAACCGGATATCCGGTCGTATCGGTTTATCTATAACAACCCTAAAACTAAGATATAAACTAAAGATACAAACTAAGATAAACTAAAGATACAAACTAAGATATATGCTTGGGCTGAACGATTTTGGAAAATATTCTAATTGCGATTTTTTTTTTTTTTTACCTCAGTATTGCAATTTAATATGAGATTATTTTTCAATGAACACCAGCAATCAATCTGTTTCAGTTGCAAAAAAACTCCACTGTTTTCAGCTCCGCTGCAACTCTGTTTCTGTATTCTTTGTAAAGCTCAGGGATAGCAACTTGGCTAAAATGTGTGTACGAGGCGTTCTGTACCGCGTTCTGTACCGCTGATCCACTGCGTTTACCAAAGCTGTAAACCCAGGCTTGGTCAACACTTCTTCTTCTACTTTTCCTTCATCAGGAGTCGCCACAGCGAGTCATACTCCTCCATCTCACTCTGTCCTCTACATCCTCTGTCCTCACTCCAACTACCTCCATGTCCTCTCTAACTGCATCCATATATCTCCTCTTTGTCTTTTTCCTGGCAGCTGCATTTCTAACATCCTTCTACCAGTATACCCACTGTCCCTCCTCTGGACATGTCCAAACCATCTCAGTCTGGTCGCTAACTTTATCTCCCAGTTGTTCAACCTGTGCTGTACCTCTGATGATCTCATTCCTAATCTTATCCATCCTTGTCACCCCTAAGGAGAACCTCAACATCTTCATTTCTGCCACTTTGAGTTCTTTCTCCTGTCTTTTTGTCCATGTCACTGTCTCCAGACCATACAACATAACTGGTCTCATAAGTCTTGTAAACTTTTCCTTTGACCTTTGCTGACACCCTTTTGTCACAAATCACTCCTGAAACTTTTGTCCATCCACTCCATCCTGCCTGGACTCTCTTTTTCCACCTCTTTACCACATTCTCCATTTTCCTGGACAGTGGACCCCAAGTACTTGAAGTCCTGCACCTTTGTGACCTCTGCTCCTTGTAGCCTCACTGTTCCACCAGCCTTCCTCTCATTCACACACATGTACTCTGTCTTACTACGACTGACTTTCATTCCTCTTCTTTCAAGTGCATACCTCCACCTCTCCAAGTTCTCTTCCACCTGTTCCCTGTTCTCACCACAGATCACAATGTCATCTACAAAAAACATCATAGTCCATGGGGATTCTTGCCTGACCTCATCTGTTAGTCGGTCCATTGCCAGAGCAAACAAGAAGGGGCTCAGAGCCGATCCTTGATGCACTCCCACCTCCACCTTGAAGCTATCCGTCACTCCTACAGCATATCTCACCACTGTCCTGCTGTCCTCACACATGTCCTGCTGTCCTCATACATGTCCTGCTGCCCTCATACATGTCCTGCTGTCCTCATACATGTCCTGCTGTCCTCATACATGTCCTGCTGTCCTCATACATGTCCTGCTGCCCTCATACATGTCCTGCTGTCCTCATACATGTCCTGCTGTCCTCATACATGTCCTGTACCACTCCCCAGTGGCTGGTTTAGGCTTGTTCAACACTAATAATGTAAAACAATACGGCAGATAACAACAGCCATTTGCGCCTTCGTTCACTACATTAAATGTGTCCACAGCCGCCACAACCTGCTACAACTGTGGTCACTAGTAAAGGCTACACATTATAAAGCTAAAAATATCTAATGATGTTTAACATTCATTGACATTTTTATAATTTAAGACAAAATACCATATTCTTGTAAAGAAGAATAAATAAAAGTTTTTTTTTTTAAACCAAATGCTTTTTTTTTTTTTAATTATTTAAACAAACAAACTATGCAGACCTATGTGATTTTTTTTTTTACTGTATTTTCCGCCGTACACATCGCTCCGCCCTATAAGTCACATCAGTCCATATTTGTCTAATAAAGTGGAAAAATCCATAAATATGTTGCTTCGTCGTATAAGTCACATCTATTATGCATCACTGCTGACACGTCGCATTTGTTGCGGACAACCCGGAAATGTGGGCCGGTGTTGTGCCATAAGTCGATGGGCTGTCAAATGGTGGCCATGGGAGTGTGTACGGGAGGACTTTTATAAAGAATTTAACAAGATTAACACTTAAAAACAAATATTTGCCTGAAAATATAGTAAAGGTGTGTCTCAGTCTAGCACCTGCTTAATAAATGGACTTTAATGGTCAAATTAGCTGCATTTCGCCGGGGGGGTGCAGCTGGTTTGACTGTTCCAAGCAGCGAGAAGAATGAAGGTGGGAATTCTACGGCAAGCCAATTGAGCCATTAATAGCTGGTGAAGATTCTCAGTCATCCAGGACATGGTAAATTCAAAAAAGTTCAAGAAAAAAACAAAGTATAAAGTAAAGTATAATAAAGTCCAGTTGTTTTTGTCTTGAACATTTTTGAATTTGTCATTTTAGCCACGTTTACGCATTACATGATACAACAGCATGCCATACAGCAACTACTACTACTCTGCTTCCATCAAGTGGCTGAAAGTGGTACTGTTCAATTGTTTTTAGTCAGAATTAATGAAAACGGTCATATCTCAGCCAAAAATTGGTTTATAAATTATGGGGAAAAATCCATAAATACGTCACTTTGGAATATAAGTTGCAGGGCATGTAAATTATGCAAAAACTGTGACTTATAGGATGGAAAATACAGTAATTATGGAAAAAGTAATTAAGTACAGAAATAAAGCATAAAGTTAAAGTGATTATATTACGCCTCTAGTATTCACATATTTGCAAAAGAAATGACCAAAAAGCTGAAAGCTGCTCAAACCAGCTTTATTTTTGTTTGTATAACAAACAATAAAATTCAGTTTTATGTCAGTTTTGGTCAAAGGCTGAAAGAGCTGCTGCAGAGGGACCTGCAGGTTGCAGACCCCTGACCTACTCCAACTTCTCTGTCAACTTAAAAGAAAAACTCAAAAACCAAAACAAAAGAAAAAAAATATTTAAATACTTTAAGGAGCTCCCAAAGATTTAACTTTACAGTAAAGCTCTCCTTTCTGTAAACACCAGAGAACACTTCAGGGCTTTTGTACTCACCGTTTGGAGTTTGTCCGCCACCGTTTGGACGGCAGCTTCAATGTTGTCGGTCACCTCGTCTGCAGTCATGCCTGAATGGGCCACACGTGCCATACTGCGTTGTAAACCGTCATATAAAACAGAAGAGTTAGCAGCGTTAGCCCGTGAGGTTTAAACACAGCGTGTTGATTTAATATGAACTTTGTTGTTTTGTGTATCAAAGTAGTAGAGACAGATTCCAACAGAAGAGATCCATCTGGATTCACTTTGAGTCTCTCTGGCACCAACAAGGACCCTCGTCAAACAGAATCAACAGGGTTGTACTGAGGTGCTACCAACTCCCTGAAATTAAACCTTTACTCAAACGCTCTCCACAATCTACATGTTTTTGCTCCTTCCTTACATCTTAAACTGGTTCTGGTTGTAGTAAATGAAACAAGACAAAGCCTACCAGCAGGGGCCTCTGTTGTTCATTTTCAGAGTGGTGCCCTGAACTAGTCTCTGGATGTCTCTGGCCAGAGTTTTACTCTGAAGGTTCACACACAGCGGAGCTCTGACAAAGACACGAACAAGGAGAGAACACAGTCAACACAGCTGCACACATCTGCAGTAAGAACTACGACTGAAAACATCAATGGCATCTAACTGGGTTCAGTAGGGATGCACGATATTGTCAGCATGGTATCGGTATCAGGTATTTTCATTTGTCGCTTGTGAACAGGTCGAGTTTAGAGTTGTGAAAATGTACAAATTTGCACTGTTCAAGTGTTGTCATTGTGTTAGAGTAAATGTCATGAATAAATTTGACATTAAACATAATCCAAGTTGAAGTGTTACATCATTTTCAGCCCCTTTTTAACATCTGCATCTGGCAGCAGGTCAAACTGACAAAGACCGTGCAGAATAATGTATTTTAATTCCACAGCAGAGAAAGTTATGTAGTCTCTGTAACTAGGTCTAGGAAAAAAAATATCTGTATTGGTCAAATAAATTTTAACATATTGCCCAAAAACCCAATATCGTGCATCTCTTAAGATTCAGTTCTTGATAATGTCATCCTCCCATCTCCACTAGTGCTGACTTTTATCATCATCTTTGGAAAAAGAGACTTTATGAATGAGTAATTTCTCTCTGATAAATGTCTGGAAAACAGTTCCTGTTTAATGCCGAGTGTTCTGCAGCTTTGAGATCAGTTTATTGCATTTCCCCTTCTAAAAACATTAAAGCTGACATTTTAGAAACGCAAAAATGGGAAAGTTTAATAAATATAGCTGGGCCGAATCAAAAGCAACTTTTTCTTGTAACCAGATAAGCTTCAAAGTGTTTAGCCCTGTTCAAGAACATTTACTCTAACATTTTAGTAGAAAACTAATTATTTCTTACTGTTGTAGTACTTAAAACAAGCACTATGCGGACTACTCTGGAGAATTTCTTTTTTAAACATTGAAAATTGATTTGAAAAAAAAAAAAAAAAAGTCAGTTGACGAAACAAACAGCTCCAGCTGTCAGAAGTGAAATAACATTTTTCATTTGTTGCACGAAGGAACCAAACTTGTACATCACTGTCCTATAAAACTGTACTACCACATGGTTGATACTTGAGCCTGGATGGTTCTTACTTGTTTCTCTCGTAGAAGTGTTTTCCGAGGTGGGATGGCAGCAGGCGGCGAACGCGGTCATCAGACAAAAACACATTGAATTTTCCCAGCAGGCGACATTTGGCTTCATGGGGCTTATATTCCGTCTTTAGCACTTTGTATGGGATAATCTGAAAATATAGATTTTTTTTTTTAAACCTATAAATACTTCATTTGTTGTGATGGACTTAAATCCTGTCCTGTGTGTCCCCCACCTCTCACACAGTGACTGCTGGATATGGGAACTAGTGACCCCCACGACCCAGAAATGAATAAGCAGGTAAAGATGAACGATGGCTGGTTACATTAACTAAAACACAGCGTGGCTAGTAAACACTTTTAATGATTGGTTAAGAAGGGTTTACTTCATTTCAGCACATCCTCATGTATCAGTACCTACCTCTGGCATGTTTTTGACGCCCTTCACCTGCAGAAGTTTCTTATAAAACCTCTGGGTCTGCTCTGACGTCATTCTGGGCTCATCTTTTGTGAAGAGGCAGACTTCCTCTGAGTCAGATCTCTGGCCATGAGGCAAAGGACTGAGAATCAAACACACATGGACACTTGAGTGACACCTCATTATGTCTACGGTATGTAGGGGGTCCCTCAGGCCCAGTCCGAGGGTACTCACATGCGAAAAGTCTGTGCCTTTTTGGGAATCTTCCACATGGTGAAGAGCAGGCTGATCTTCTGGGTCTCGTCCAGGAGTAGCTTGTCTCCGGTGGCTTTGGTTTTAAGAAAAGCCTGCAAGGCCTGAACGGCCTTTTTCACCTGTAAGACGGACTCGGTTCAGCACAAACTAGGAAGTCAAGCTTACTCTAGTACATGTCGATCCAACTGTTTATTTATAATAGCGTCTGTGTTTTAAGTAGATTCGTGGCTACTAGCACCCAACAAACTACCGGTAGCTAACGTTAGCTAGCTAGAACTAAGTATCGAGCTAAATAACTACAGCCACGTAAAAAACGTGTCGAACACAGAATTAAATCTTGACACGCTGTATAACATTATTACAAAAGCATTTAAAAGCATTTTACCTGCGCTCGATCTAATTTTACTTCAGCCTTTTCAGCCATGCTGTCTTACGTCCACGAGCTACTTCACGTGTGAACAGGAATACGCATGCGCACTTGGCGCATTGCGTTCTACGTCATGACATACAAAACGAAAAACTTTATTCTTGAGACATGAGACAAAATTGAACATTTCCTCAAAGAACAACAATATGAAGCTGGTGTAAACATAGATATCATATAATCGCTTTTATATATCTATGGGTGTAAATGTTGCTTTAGTTCCAGTTTTCAGTTGAAAATTGATTAAATTTCATTTAATTGAACAAAAATCTAAAATTTATGCATTTAAAAGTTTAAAGCAAGCTAAAGTTATTGGGTATTATGTCTTCTATTACAAATAAAGTCCAGTTGTTTTTGTATTGAACGTTTTTTGAATATATTCTATCTATCCATTATGTGTTACCAACTTCTTCCTTTTCGGGTCATAGGGGATCACTGGTGCTCATGTCTAGCAGTCACTGTACGAGAGCTGGGGGACACCTGGACTGGTCTCCAGTCCATCACAGGGACACAGAGACAACCAACCATCCATCCATCATCCATCCATTTTTACCCGCTTATTCCATTTTTGGGTCACGGGGGTCGCTGGTGCCCATGTCCAGCAATCACTGTTGAAACTTAACAGTTTGAACTGCATTGAAACTTAACAATCACGTAAACATGATTGTTAAATCATGCTTCTTCCAACTGAGGCGGCTGTCTAAACTGAAGCCCATATTGTCCAAAAATAACCTGGAGACAGTAATACATGCATTCATTACATCTAGGCTTGATTACTGCAATTCCCTCCTGTTTGGTATCAGTCAAACCTCCATTGCACGACTACAACTGGTCCAGAATGTAGCAGCCCGATTTTTAACCAGTACAGGCAAAAGAGAGCACATTACACCAGTTTTGGCCTCACTGCACTGGTTACCGGTTCACTTTTGAATCTAGTTCAAAATACTCATGCATGTCTACAAATCACTGAACAGTATCCACCCCCAATCTCTCTGATCTGCTACAACCGTATGTCCCACCACGCTCCCTGAGGTCAGCGGACCAGTTGCTCCTCACAGTTCCAGGAACTCGTCTTAAGCGCAGAGGAGACACGGCCTTCTCTGTAGCAGGACCAAGACTTTGGAACGAGTTACCTCTGCTTGTCAGACAGGCCCCCTCCCTCTCAGTTTTCAAGTCCCGTTTAAAAACCCACTATTATTTAGTAGCTTTCAACACAAGATGATCTGTGTTTTGATCCTGTATGCTCCACACTGGTTTGTCGTCATATTTATTATCTGCATCATTTTTATGTCTGTGTTCTGATTTACCTCATTTTGTATTTTGCTGTGTGTGTTGCCTGTTGTTTTGTCTGTACAGCACTTTGGTTGGCCTTGTTGCTGTTTTAAGTGCTTTATAAATAAAGTGGTATGGTATGGTACTGTGCGAAGGGCGGGGTACACCCTGGATGGGTCTCCAGTCCATCACAGGGACACAGACAACCAACCATTCACTCTTCAATTTAGTTACCATATTTTTCGGACTATAAGGCGCACTTAAAATCCCTAAATTTTCTCAAAACTTGACAGTGAGGTGCACCTTATGTATTAATTCTGGTTGTGCTTACTGACCTCAAAATGATTTTTGTGGTTATTGTGAATGAGTTGAATAAAGTTCGACAGACCTGTTCATCGCTATTGCGCCTTATAATGCAGTGCACCGCAATAGTCAGAAAAATACGGTACCAATCAGTCATGCATGTTTTTGGTCTGTGGGAGGAAACCTGAGTACATGGAGAAAATCCACACATGCATGAAGAGAACATGCAAACTCCACCCAGGCTGGCATTCTATGTGGCAACCTTCTCACTGAGGCGACACCTCTACCCACATCTCAACATTGTGTGTAGAGCAGGCAGAACTTTTAAGGACAAGACTATTCATCATTTAATATTGAAAGTAGCAGTTCAAACATGCATTGAATTTTCTAGAAATAAATAAATAAAACCAGCACACGTTTCTGAGTTTGAGGTTTTAATTTCAGCTGTGATTATGTAACAGCTCTCGTTCTGAGAGCAACTTATCCTTGGATTATCAGAGTAACACTGTGTGTGAGCTTAGTCTAAATAACCCAGCTCACCAAATTAAAATTCTGATGCAGCAATTTATTAAAATGAAATATCTTTTGGATTTATAACTCCACTCTTAAGAAAGGAGATGCACGTTGACTATAATAATAAGAGAACTCTGGCGTTTCGCAGGATACAGAAATCACTCTGAACTTTTAGTTTGTCGTCTCCAAACTCAGCAGCGCTGCGTTCGTCTCCGCTCTAAAGACAAATGGTGTCCAGCCGACAGCACGGAGGAATCACGGGAGGCGGGGGAGTGTGGCTACATTAGTGGCATAGCTGAGCTCTCAATATGAGAAAGCTGACACACTGGACTCTCAATTCATGTTCACAAAATCTGATTCAGTCTCGATTGGACTTGTCCTCCTCCCTCCTTGTTGTTGTTGATCTTCTCTTCAGCCGAGTTGTGTAAAGAGATCAGCTGTTTGGGTCGGCTCCAGCAGCGTTTCTCCTCAGGTGACGAGTGAAGGAACTCCATGCACGCTGCTGCATTTAGTCCTTTTCTGGAACCAGCTTCAGCACTTTACCGATTGCAATCGTTTTGCCTAGAGAAACAAAAACAAACAAACAAACAAATGTTAAAGTCAACAATTTGTGCGCTGGATATAAACAGAAGCAAACACTTTAGCTTTGACCTGCTGCTTTATTCTCAAATCCACAAAAACGCTCTGAATGTTTCACCTTCATTGTTCAGTTTGGCAGAACAAACGCTGCCATTCTCCTCTTTTAGTGTTTCTTTAAGCGTTTGTCACCATTTCAGTGGCCGGTGGTCACGCTGATGACACTCATGGCTTCAGTCTTTAAAGATTTGTTGTTTCAACGCATGTGCAGTGCTCACGTTGCTGCACGCAGCCTAAACCACCACCACCACAGACATCTACACCTCCAGACGCAGGAAAAGGGCCACCTGCATCATGAAGGACCACACTCACCCAGCACACACTTTTTGCCCCACTCCCCTCAGGCAGGAGGTTGAGGAGCATTAAGTGTAGAACCACTAGACTGAGGAACAGCTTCTACCCTGAGGCTGTTAGACTTATGAATCTCTAACTAGAATAATCACTGTGAAAAATCATATGTTGCTGCTGATCCATTTCATGTTGCTGCTGATCCGTTTCATGTTGCTGCTGATCCGTTTCA